ATAGAAAACATCAGAAAGCAGAAATACAGAATAAAAATGGGCAGGGTGTGTTCAAAGTAAACCCAAAATGAACAAGAACACAAAGCAAAAGAATACTCTCTTCTCAATGTGCTTAAATTAATAGTGCCTATTTAAAGAAATATAGGAAAAAATTTTTGATTATCCTAATGAAGTACCCTATTATGTACTTTACATTATTTTCAAGTACTAAAGTTTCAAGTTTTATTTAAATTTATTTAAATTATTTAAATATTCCCCAAATTCTTGAGAACTTGGCAATGAAGCTTAGGGAAACTATTCGCAAAGTAAAAGAAACAGTACACATCGCCTCCAGCAAAACTATGCCTTGTTTTTTGTTGCTGTTTTTTAAACCTACGCTCAAAAGACTACACTTAATACCCAACACTTGGTGGGCACAGTGACCAGCCTAAGCAAGAGTGAGATCCCGTTTCTACTAAAAAAAGAAAAAATTAGCTGGTGCACACCTATAGTCCCAGCTACTCCGGAGGCTGAGGCAGGAGGATTGCTTGAGCCTAGCAGTTTGAGGTTACTGTGAGCTAGGTTGATACCAAGGCACTCTAGACTCTGTCTCAAAAAAAAAAAAAAAAAAAAAAAAAAAAACTGACTGCTTATTGTAGAAGCAAAATATTAGCTCTCAACACCCTTCTCACAAAATTTTCGTATTTCTCTTCTCTCCATTCCTCTAATATATAACTTGCCTCTGTTAGATCAATACTTACTGTTTACATTATTTTATATGCGTAACTGCCATCCAGAGTTTAACAATATAGTTACAATGATTATATTTTCTTTCCTGTATCATTTAAAAATTGTCCTGGAATTAACATGTATCTTGCTTTTTTATGCTTCTTTGCTTATACAATTTTCTACATAATTATTACTAAGTAATTCCCAAATTTTCTGAGTCGATTAAAACTCTCTTCTCAATGTGCTTAAATTAATAGTGCCTATTTAAAGAAATATAGGAAAAAATTTTTGATTATGCTAATGAAGTACCCTATTATGTACTTTACATTATTTTCAAGTACTAAAGTTTCAAGTTTTATTTAAATTTATTTAAATTATTTAAATATTCCCCAAATTCTTGAGAACTTGGCAATGAAGCTTAGGGAAACTATTCGCAAAGTAAAAGAAACAGTACACATCGCCTCCAGCAAAACTATGCCTTGTTTTTTGTTGCTGTTTTTTAAACCTACGCTCAAAAGACTACACTTAATACCCAACACTTGGTGGGCACAGTGACCAGCCTAAGCAAGAGTGAGATCCCGTTTCTACTAAAAAAAGAAAAAATTAGCTGGTGCACACCTATAGTCCCAGCTACTCCGGAGGCTGAGGCAGGAGGATTGCTTGAGCCCAGCAGTTTGAGGTTACTGTGAGCTAGGTTGATACCAAGGCACTCTAGACTCTGTCTCAAAAAAACAAAATAAAAACAAAAAAAACTCCTTAACATTTAAACAAAATAAACTCTATAAAAAAATATGGAGCATAGAGAAAATACTTTAGGCTTTCACTAAAATTCAACTAATGTAATAAAATATTAGGAAACAACTGGACAAATCAATGAATCCTGCAGCTGCATGGAATAGTGTTACTCATTTTAAAGAAAGCTTTGAAATACATTTAAGATTCTAAGAAGCTAAACTGTAAACAGAAATATAGTAAGTTCAGGTATGTGAGAGGCAGTTTAATGAAGTGTGGTCTGAAGCCACAATGCCTATATGCAGCTCCACCACTTATTAGCTCTATGACCTTATGAAAGGTCTTTAACCACACCTTTAACCTATTTCTTCATCTGTAAAACAAGGATGATAGTAAGAGTGTGTGTGCATGCATGAATATATACATATGTACATATGTTTTGGGGTCATTGTTATAAAGATTCAATATGTTAATCCATGCAAAAATAATTAGAGAAAATCTATATAAGGAGAATACAAGAGAGAAGAGAAGGAAAGGGGTAGGAAATGAAAAAAAAAATAGGGTGGAAAATGGTAGATGGGAAGGAAAGAGTAAGATAGAGAAAAATACATGCATAATAAACACCCAAAACTACAGACAGTAACATCTCAGGGAAGAAGCCCACAGAGATTACACATTTTGCAGTAAACTGTTCATTTAAAAAAAAACAAAAACACTACAGCCCATCGTATCAAAATAGAATACTGTAAAATACCCACTTTTTAAAAAGATATTAATATAATTGGGGTAAATATTTGGAACTATGAAGAGACAATCTAATATATAGAAGAGATATTAGCATTACCTGTACAGAAAAATACTTCACTTCATCAAACTTAATTGCAACATTCTTTGCATTGTTTGTGGCTAGCAAGCTACAAATTTTTGTACTTTTCACAACTTTGTTTATTGAAATGCGAATGAATAAATCAGTGTAACGCCGAAAATTGACTGAAAATAGGATCATATTTAGGAAATAAGTTCTGTTGTAATTGAACAATAACACATAATAAAAATGAATCCATTAAACAATTCAAACCAAATTAAGAATCAATCAAGTACATTAAGCAATAGAAAAAAGTCTTTTAAAATAGTATTTTAGCCCATCACTAGTAGACACAATTTAAGTACGAAAAGAAAGTTGATTCTGCCTTAGATCACTTGTCATATTTTTATCCTCACATTTCCATCATAATTCCTTTGCAAATTTTTCTATATATTAATTTCAAGGTGACTTCAACTATATTTGCAAAACATAGTTGAAATTTTTTTCTAAGTATAATTATGTAGAATTCAAAAAATTAGAAAAATGTCACTTGAGAATAATTTATTTTTAATTTTAAGATAAGAGCAAAGTGTTCTACTCTCTAATTCTCTTCAGTATATACTTCATTTATACTATGTTGGTCTGTGTTGTTATCCATGGATTAAAACAATTTCATTTTCATGATTTAACTAATTATCTTCAAAAATCTCTTTATCTAGGATTCTTTTTAAAAAAATTTTTATATAAGAAGGGAACACCAAATCTCTATAATGAGATTGGTTTTATACCATGATAAATCTAAAAATAAGCACTCAGCTTCATTAAATGCATCAATATAAAATATTAATAAATCCTTTAAAAATGTTTAAGAGAAGCACAATTATTACTTACAAATAAATTAGCATTATTATACAAGAAGACATGTATTTTTCCTTTAATGTATACGGTGATTGAGGTGGATTATGGATGGCCAAAAATCTTTTGTTACTCCCACACCAAAAAGTGAAGTTTATTTCCCTTGCCCTTTAATCTGGACTGGCCCTGCAACTACTTTAACCAATAAAATGTAATGGAACGTGACTAGGATGGGCACAAAATTTAAGGGGATATCAAAAGTTTGAGTAATAAAGATCAGTTTTATATATATGTTACTGTAATATATTTTTTAATCAAAATTAATGCAGGAAAAAGAAAGATAAGGGGACTACATGGAAAGAGAGAAAGGTCCAACTATTTCAGCTTCCCAGCTAGGTCTAGCCTTCTATGCATCCCACTAAAACACCAGACATGTAAATGGACCATTTTGGATATTCCAACCCTTTGAATTGCCAGATGACAGCAGCCCAAGCTGTTACACTGTGAAGCAGAAGTACCACCTAGTGAATGCACAGGTAGTGATAGATAATAAAATGGTTAATGATTTAAGCCACTAAGTTTTGGAGTGGTTTGTAATGCAGTAATGGATAACTGAAACCGTGAGACATAATTATCCTATGATTCTTAAATCAAAAGAAAGGATACTCTTAGTCGTAAAATGTCTGCAATTCCTTATATGAATAGCCAGGCAGCCAACCTACAACAATCAAAACAAAACACAGACAGTGAATGTGCATTTTTAAAAAGTTAACTTTTCTTCCACTTTACACTAAATTCTATTTTTAAAAAACAATATTTCACGAGAAATATTGTTTCTCATTAGAAATATCTAGTTAATATTAATAGAAAACATCAGAAAGCAGAAATACAGAATAAAAATGGGCAGGGTGTGTTCAAAGTAAACCCAAAATGAACAAGAACACAAAGCAAAAGAATAATTCACTGTTAATTTAAATCTGATCATCACTCTTTCAATCATTTTTATTTTATATTAGGTAAGAACTGATAAAATACAGCATCATGCATATAAAAATAAGAAACACGCTTTGTTTCATACAAGCGCTTTTATCTAGTATCCTAAAACCACTTTAGTCATTCAACAATCATTCATTGGCTGTAACATGCCAGGGACTATAAAATATCCTCCCTTGCACAAAGTTTTTCTAAATGTTAGAGAAAGTTATATCTTGTGCTTTACCATAAAATCAAATACAAAATGAATGCAGGAATAATTGAATTCTAAGATGAGTATTAGCCAAATACATTTAGCCACGTTTAGTCTTAAAAATCATGTAAAAACAGCAGAAACATTATATTAAACACTGTATATAATAGGAGATATAGAAGAGGGACAAGAAAAATTCTTATCTCATACCCAGTGACTGTTCTAATAGTGTTCAGGAAATAAAGATAACTGTAAATGAATGCCATGATATTTGACAGTTCTATAATAAATGCACATAGATCTTCATGTCTTAGTCTATACTTTGAAGCACCCAAAATAGAATAACACATTTTTCTGGTTCTCAACCCAGGTATTAAGTCCTACCTTTGTGTGTGTGTATGCGCATGCGTGTGTGTGTGTGTGTGTGTGTGTGTGTGTGTGTGTGTGTGTGTGTGTATCTGTCTGTCTGTTTGCCTGTTCGTCTGTATGTATGAGTGATAAGAGTATACTTTTGTTTCTGGTTTTTTTGGATAGGGGAGAGGTGCAGGATCAACTTTAGCACAATCAAGCAATAAATCACCTGAAGAGCTCAGTAAAATTACTGACTCCTAGGCCCCTCAGAGACTCTGAGTTAGGAGATTTTAAGTGGGGCCCAAAATCAATGTTTTTAAAAAAGCATCCCAAGTGATTCTGATGGAACTAGATTTCGGAATCCTTAGTATAGAAAACATTATTAATATTTCTGTGAATAAGGATGTTTTCTATAATTTCAGTGATTATTACAATGTTTTTCTGACTCATAAAAATAAAAAATTCATGAATATATTATAAGAGAGCACTATTTTCTGCACATAACTTCTGATTACCAATAATAAACATTATTCTTCATATCAAATAATAAATAATTTGTACATGTTTCTTGAGGGTTAATCATACATACCACATCTCCAAATGGTACTAAAGTTGGTGTCTCAGGTGCTGTTACCACTTCTTCAGTAACAGCCCCTTTAAGAGTTTTTCTCAGCATCTATAATGTAAATAAATTAAGACTTAAGAGGTAGAAGAAGAATATAACTAGGTAAAAGGTTAATTCAACTCAACAATTATTTTATGAGTATCAAGTAAGTACCAGGTACTCTAGGTAGTGGGATATTAATATGATTGAGAAACTCATCCCTATCCTCAATAAATTAGCAGAGAAATTAAAATATACACATTTAAATATAAAATAATTAAGGGTATCATGAAAGAGGAGACAAGTCCATAGTAGTGTGAACAATTAGTTCTTCAGTTTGTTAAGAGCGTGAACAAATAGTAGGATATCTTGAAAAGTTGATAAGGAGAGAGTTTCAATTGGTCTAGTATAGGAGACACCTTAAATCTGAATGTCTACTCAAATATAACAAGGAGTACAAATAAAACCACACAAGACACATGCCTCCAGAATTACTAGGAGAGAGAGTATCACAAACTTCAGATTTCCTGTAAGTAGAGAAATAAAATACAAATTCCAACAGAGCTCTCACTGGAACTTCTGACATGATTACAAACTTATGGGGACAGAGAACAGGGAAGAGAAATCTTAAAAGACTGGAAATGAGCAGAGAGGAGTGGGGAACATGAAGCATAGACAAAATTATCCTGAGAAAAAAAATTCAACACTAAGTGTAAAATTCTGAGCACAGGTCTAGAACTTGGTAGTTCACAACAATGGCTATAGAGAAGGGACCTGATGGAGAAGGACCAGAAGTAGATTCCTCAGATGAGCACTGCTGCTGGAGGGAAGGAGACAGAGAAGAGGTATCCTTTGTATACATGGCAGTGAAGAGAAAGAAGAATATAAGAGGGGAAAATTAAGGATACCAAACAAACAAAATAGAACTGTAGGTCATGCTCACCCTTCCCCCTCACCTCCTATTAATTACAACTTCATCCATTTAAGAAATTGCATTTCAATACACTGAAAGAAGGGGGTACAGTTAAACCAAGCTCAAGAAATGACTAGGAGTAAGGAAAATCAGACTAACTCCAGTAAGAGCTATTATAAAAAAAAAATGGGGGGAAATTTTCAGCTGATAAAAATTCTCCCCCCAAAATAACCACAGAACAAAAATAACTTATAAAATAAAATTTCAAACTGAATTAAATATCTTCAAATAAGCATTTGGAGATTCTTTTTAAAAACCTACAATCACAAATTCAATTCAATTCAATTCACAATTAAAACAAAGATCAACCAAAAACAAGAAAGAAAAAATGAAATGAGTGTTGATCAACTCAAGGAAAGAAATTTTTTAAAAAGACAAACCATCTCAGAAACAAAGAATAAATTGCAAGGTGCCCAAAGTAGTATTAATCAAAATGAAAACTTGATAAGGGGCATTGAAAAAGGTAATAAACCAATGAAGAGAATGAAAATGAGATAGAGAAAGAAGTATAGAGTCAGAGAAAAGCAGTTGAACTGGAAGGTAGGGCAAACAAGAAATCCTTGAAGAAGAAAAACAAAACAATGGGAAAGAATTAATATTTAAAATTACAATCCAAGAAAATTTATAAGTAATAAGAGAAAAATCTACATATGGGTAGGACCTACTATGTGTCCGGGAAAATTATCAATGCCAAGACATGTCCTAATAAAATTATTAGGCTTTATAAAAACATTTTTCCTCCAGGCAAAATAAATATACCAAAGAAACTGAACAGAGAGTCTAGACACAGATCCACACATTTATAGACACTTCATTTGTAACAAAGTTGGCACTGTAGAATAGTGAGGAAAAGACACTCTCAGCTGGAATACCTGGAAGTATCTGTCCAGAAAAGAATGAGAGAGAGAGAAGAAGAAAATGAAGAAGGGTGGGCAGAGATGGGAAGAGAAGGTGAGGGAAGGGAGAAAACCTGACCCATACCGCACACCATACACACGAAAAACAGTTACAGGTGAACTGTTAATCTCAATGTTAAAGGCAAAACAATAAAACAATTAGAAAATAGCATACGAGAATATTTTTATGACTTCAGGGTAGAAGATTTCTAAAAAAGAACCACAAAGAAAAAGTTCAATATATCTAGCTACATTAAAGTTCATAACTTCTGTTTATCAAAAGACACCACTTGAAAAGTGAAAATATAAGCCACTGAGTGGATGAAGATATTTGCAACATGTATAGTATAACTGACAAAGGGCCTATATCTAGATATATACTAATATGCTATATAAATTTATTTACTAATATAGATTTATACAAATCAATAAGAAAAAGGTAGACAACCCAATAGAAAAATGGGAAACAGACTCAAACAGGCACTTCGCAAAAGAGTTATAATGGCTAATAAACGTTTGGAAGGAGCTCATCCTCATTAGTCATCAGTGAAATGAAACTTAATACCACAAAGAGATACCACTACACATCCCTCAGATGGCTAAAAATAAAGACTGACAATACCAAGTGACAATAATGTGGAGTAACTAGAACTCTAATATCCTGCCAGTGGAAATATAAATTAGTATACCCTCTTTGAAAAACTGTTGGGTATTATGTACTTAAGTATAACATATACATAATTATAATCCAGGAATTCCATTCCTACATATATTCCCAACAGAATGCATGCATATGTATACCAAAAGACATGTAAAAGAATGCTCATAGAGGCATTATTCATCACAGCCAAAAACTAGAAAAAACCCAAATATCCATTAATAATATGATAAATAAATATAATATGACATATTCATCCTCAATAAATTAGCAGAGAAATTAAAATATA